GTTTGACTTTGTTTTTCATTAAAATTGTCAATGAAAGAGACAAAATTTATTACAATTGGTGATATAATTTATTCCAATTACCAAAAATAAAAATTAAAAAAAATCGCAAAACCAAGGAAATTGCACGTGTAAAGGGGGGGGGGGTAATGGAAATAAATTCCCTAGAAAATTATTGCAATCAAACAGACCAAAAGGTGGAAAATTGAACCTATCAAATAGGGCCTAAGAAATTTTTTTGAATTTATGTGTAAGATATTTCATTTTGTGAATATGATCGAAAATAAGTACAAAAAAATAAATTAAAATAAAATAAAGAGAATCAAATAGTGACCTAATAAATCATGAAAACAAATAAAACCACTAGATAATATTGTTAAGCATTAATGTAGCTTCTCATGGAAGCTATTTGATCTTCTTGAAATTCATCACAAATTAAATGGGGAAAAAAATTGCTTCATTTTTCATTGAAGGTATAATAGACAATTTGATACCAAATTTAGTCATTTTTGCAAGAGTTATCAAAATTAGATACTTTTCGATTGACAAACATGAAATTAGACATTTTTGTAAAAGGTAATTATTTGTTACACCACACTAGGTAAAATTACTTAATTAACCACCCTTTTAAATTTACATTTTAACATTAAACAATTTTTATAAACACCACAATTATTAAATTAACAAACTTGTCCACTATTTCCTTTGCAGCGGTGCTAATTCTTTAAATGAATCTCTCTTCTATAATGTTTATGATTTTAGGGGCACAAGTTGTATGGTGGCCGTCGGGGAGATCTTACCAGAAAAATGTTCTACTGCAACATTGAAGACAAAGATGGGGATTGAATGTTAGTGGGAGATGTTTCATGGGATATGTTTGTCACTTCTTACGGAAGATTAATGAAAGGATCTGAAGCTAAATGATTTGCATGCTTATCAAAGCCATAGCAATATAACTTGCATACAAAATGTTGTAGAATTCAAAAAATCGATAAAACCAAAATCAATTGGTTGTTCCTAATTTCTTTTTTGTGCGACTTGAACTATTTATTGATGACATTTTGGGTTTCTGTTTTTGCGAATTTCAGTGGGACTTCATTTGAAATGAGGATTACACCACAATATTAAAAGTATAATTGTAAATTTGGTGTGATGTATTTATTAAAAATATATCTTAATTATGATGTAATTATAATGTGATGTAGTAAGTAAATGAGGAAATTTCATAACTATCACTAAATTTGAAAATGCGCAAAAATTTTGATTTGCACTGAAGATGGTAAAAAAGTCACTTTTTTTGTGTGAAAGGTCCATATTAACCTTAGTGACACTTTTTTATGAGCATTTAATGCTTGATTTGAAAGTCATTAACATTGTGATGTGATGATTTTTTTTAATATTATAAATATTAGAGATGTGATTATTCTATTTGATAGTATGAATTTTGGTAAAAATAAAAATAAAAACACATGACTTTTTACCATTCACAAATCATAACTTCCTAACCATCTTCTTCATTTCATCATCAAGAAGACATTACTTTTGAATTCATCATTCATTTTCCAGAGGTTAGCTATTAGAAATTATTTATATTTTTATCTTATGGCTTACTATTTTAAATATTAAATAGAATACAATCATATTTATTTGAAATTTTTGAAACTCGTATTCATTGATTTGTTTGATTCTTGATATATTTTTGAAGGAAAAAGATATCAACATCCTAAGTGAAAGATTCCATAATCAATGACATATTGAGTCATTCCTTATTTATTTTTGGGAAGATGTTGTGATGTTGTAGTTGATAATTGATTATCATCATTAATGTTTTGAATAATTTATTCCATGGTATCAAATACATGTTTTCAAGCTTCCCGACAATTTCCACAGTTCAAGTATCAAATTTGACATTTCGAAACCATCTTATTAGACGTTTCAATTGTCGAACTCGACATTTAAAAACTGTTGGGATAGATAATTTAATTGTTGGAATTCAACAAGTCATTTTCACATTTTGTCATTGAACTCCAACTGATCTCTCTTGTTTCCATTCCCCTGTGAGAAGGTAGAGAGCAAAACCAACCCAATCGGTCGTCTGCCGCCTTTCTTTCCTATGCTCGAGGAAAGCCCGAGATGCCTTTATGGGTAGCAGCTTCTTTAGCTTCACTCTTAGAGCACTTGTCCTATCTAAGAACAAGCCTGGTAATCCCCTTCAATTGAAGAAATAGAAAAATAGACATATTGATTGTGCAAAGTTCTTACCGTTCCAATCTCAACTTTTCAGGTATTATTAATCATTTGAGATTCATCGTGTCGCATAGGGAAAGTTTATTTATGTGGATGACAAATGGAAGTGGAAAGTGGACAAAACCACTTTCGTTTTAGTTCCAACAAGTATTACCCTATGCACTCGTTATGGTAGAGTTGGCCATAACCGAACCACGTGTTCCAACCACATTCTAACACAACTTATGTAAATAGGCTTAATGTCTAAAAGTAGTTAAAGTTGTATTCTGAATGTTTCCCCGATAGCATTGTACATTATGAAATTATATTATCATTTTCATTTTATTATTGTTTGTAGATATTAGTCGTGTTTAAGTTCACAAGCAAAATAATTACATAGACAAAAATTACATACATTCGACAGAAGTATCCTTTCATTCTCGACATATGGTTGCAAAGTAGAAAATTTGACTACAAAAAAATGTATAAGGGACATGCTGTTCCTGAACACATTCTCAATTTATATTATTATTAGCATTTTATTATCATTTTGTAGATATTGCATAACATCCCGACAGTTAAATTCGGTCCCGACAGGAAGTTTCTGTTATTCTCGACAGTTGGTTGCAGGTAGAAAATGTAACTACAAACAAGATGCATAAGGGATAAGCTGTTGCATAATATTTGGTAAAGACATTATTATATTTAACCCTGACAAAATTATAATACATAACTCAACAAATTTTATCGTGCTAATTGAACAATCCAACATGTATGAGAAACGAGAAATGATAAAATATGTCACCACATGTGGATGCAACCACCAAATCATGCTTATAATCACATTCTTGGAGAGAAGCAAAAGGAGGTCATTGATTACACAAATCAATTCTAATGTAGTATAAACAAATTTCGTCACACTATTTTTTTTATTCTTTTTCCCCTCTTCTTGATGTATGGAGTCTTAGTAGATATTGCAGGAAATCAAATGTGTGTCAATCATTGCCATTTTGTATTAACAATATCGTTACTTTCGATGGGTATGGTGGCCGTCTTCTTCACGTTACAAGCTGAGGGGACTTTTTCGTGGTCCGAGCATAACACTTTGAGCTCTATGACTCCTCCATCTATTTGAAAACAACATTTGCAACACTAATCGACATGAGTTCATTATTTATAGTTCGCAGATTATGGAATGAGATGAGAGTATTTAAAATTTTGAATTCCTCGTAATTAATGTACGTACCGTTCACCTTTTGGTTCCCACTAAGCAATGGACCCTCATGATTATCTGAGCACGGGTTGATGCCTCCAATGGATATGAATTCAATATTTCTAGTTTGCATATTACGAAATGAGATGAGTGTATTTAAAATGTTGAATTCTTTAGATGTTATTGTTAAATACACGTATAAGAAATCAAAAAAATACACTATAATGTTCGGGAAATACAGTCTTTGATTGTCGAGAATGACAGTTCATATCGAAAGATAACTCATATGTCGAGAATAGCTGAAATGAACTGTCGGGAACATCAGTTTGTCGCGATAGATGAGTCACATTATTGATCTTTTGAGAAGTTCTCGTACGTCGATAATTCATAACTGTACAGACTTTCATTGTGATGAATTAAACAGTTTGCTTAAAAGATTCGATACCCATGCCTAACCTAGAAAAGTATAATAAATAAGGTAGGTTAGAATAATAGGTATAATACAACAATTAACTTTCACATAGTAAACAAATTCAGAGAAATATGAAATAAAAAATTGACAGAATGTGAAATATTTTTTTAGAAAAAAAAATTCATACATAACACCCAATTTTTTTTTTTAGAAAAAATCAAAATGCCCAAAAAAATATAAACCAAAAAAAATAAAATAAAAAAATGAAGAAATCCAAATTACCTGTAAATGTATGCTCTGAACAAAGTCGAATCCAAAACAGAGAACAATCTAACTCACGATCTAGATCTAGGGAACTCAAAATTGATGGTGCAATCTAAAAGAAAAAAAAACGAACATTAATAAAAAACTTGAAACAAAACCTTCAATCGATCTAAAAAAATATTCTTTTTCTTTCTGTATTGACGTAATAAACAGGATCTCAAGGCAAGAACTTGCACTCCATATAGTTTTCCAAGAATTAGGAAAGGAAACATAGAAAAGAAGAAAATAGAAAGGAACTTTTTTGCAAAGAAACGTATTAGAGAAAGAAAAATGAATGAGTTAATAATTAATAAATTTTGCTTTTATATATATATATATATATATATATATATATATATATTGTAAAGATTTTGAAATACAACTATGAGGTGATTGATTATCACATTTTCTCAATTTTTTGTACAATTTTTTATGTTGTAAACTTAGCTCTTGTTTGTCAACCATTTTTTCACATTCTACCATATTATTTTTTCTACATTACTTATTTTCAACTACATATTTTTTATTAAAATAATACTACATATAAATAAAAAAATTTCATTCTTTTTTAACTACATATTTCAACATCAATCACTATTCCATACTCTAATTTTTGTAATTAAATGGCCACAAACAGAGCTTTAATGATGTGTAGTTATTTGAATTTTTAAAAAGGGTGAAAATGTTTAAAATTGACAATCTTGTAAAGATTTTAAAAAAGTAACATTTTTGTAAATGTAAGGACAAAAGTTGACTATTTTAGTAATTTCATTTCTGGGTGGGTAATATAATTATCGTTTTGTAAATTCTTCTTATTTTTTCTTAGAGGGAATTAAGAGGAAAGAGAAATCGGACCTCCAAGATCATGCCACGTGGACCATTGCTGATAAACGGATGCAAACCTATTTATATTCCACTCTTTATTCTCCTTTCTGTTCCGCCACTTCTATCTCATCTCTTTCTGCCGCTTGTTGGTTTCTTTCTATCTACACAGCTCTCACTTTCACAAACCCTACACCCGAATTCCTAGCATTTCATCCGATTAAACCTATATATTTTTTTAACAATTTCCATTTCATTTTCTCGAATTTCAGCTTTCCCGATTTCGAGATATGGCAAGCTCCAGCACCAGTCATGTTTATGTACACGTCATCGAGGACGTCATCAGCAAGGTTCGCGAAGAGTTTGTCAGCAATGGAGGTCCTGGTGATAGCGTACTCAACGAACTCCAAGGCGTAAGACCTTGTTTATTTTTTTTTTGAATTAATTCGTAACGATTTCTCCAAAATTAAATTGCATTTATGATATTTTGAGTGTTACTTTAGTGAGATATTCGGCTTTTGGGATTGATAGAACGAATTTGGGCCTGTATTGTGGAATTGATTCGTGGGTGTGATCTGATTGGTTTTAAGTTCTAGTAATTTTTGGTTCTGTTGAGGTGGAATTTAATGTTGACGATGTGTTAAGGTGGATTTTGCAGTTATGGGAACTGAAGATGATGCAAGCGGGGGCAGTATTGGGTTCGGTAGACAGGTCCTCCATGCAAAAGGCAGCGTCAGGGGGTCCAATTACTCCAAATCCGGTGCACGACTTGAATGTACCCTATGAAGGCACTGAGGAGTACGAAACTCCCACGGCAGATTTACTGTTCCCCCCGGTTAGCTTTCAGATTTCCCATTACACGTGGCAGCCTGGTGAAATTTGAAGTCAAGATAAATTCTTTTAAACACACAAATGAATATTGAAAATTTTCGTATTTCTGACTGCAGACGCCATTGCAGACTCCGGTGCCAGGGATGGCACGGACACCATTGCCGGGAACAGCTCAGACACCTCTCCCTGGAACGGCTGACAACAACTCATATTATAACATTCACACTGGAGGCACTCCGATAACCCCTAACGAGTATTCATCTGCAAATGATAATGGTGGGGTTCCTGAAATGAGAGGTGGAGCGGGAAGACCTAGCCCTTATATGGTATAATCCTTTACAAACTCCCTGCCCTGTTGGGTGGATAGTTCCTATGCATGATTTACTTGATGAATCACTCTGCAGAGAGTTCTATATCTTGTGTTTTCATTTATTTTATTAATCTCAAAATTCATATCATGTGGCTGCTCTCTTGCTTTGAAGAAAGCTCATTTTCTGCTTAATATTTGTCTTCTGGGTTAAGTTATAGAACTTAGATTTCATATTTTACTCATGCAGCAACCACCATCAGCTTGGTTGAATCAAAGGCCTCCTCTCGATGTGAATGTTGGTAAGTATAATGGTACGAGCATTATAAACATGCAAAAACATACTGTGAACATTCTAAATAAATGTTCAAAAGCAGTATATAGTCTTTCCTTTCTTTTGATACATTAATTTCTTTTGTAGCTTATGTGGAAGGTCGTGAAGATGGTGAAAGAGGAGGCCCTCATCAGCCTACAACACAGGTGATTATTATTTATGGTACATGTTGACACTTACTGAAGTATTCCTGTTCACTAGAGGGAGAACTTTAGTGATTTTATGTTGTTAGGATTTATTAAGGATTCCCGTGTTCATAAAGTGTTATTGTTTTGGAAGTTATGTGATAAGTTCGCACATTTCTATTTCGTTGTGCTTTTCTTCTAATAAAATTTTAGAAAATCAGATGTATCAAACATGTATAAAGATTAGTGGAGAAAGGACAAAGAAAATAGGTAACAAATTTGCGAAGATGATTGAGATAAATGATATTTGATATCCTAACTTTACCACTGCCTTTTTTTTTTTCTGTATTAAGTAATTTTAAACTCTGCAATCACTCCCAGTTGGAGAAGTGAAAGGCAAAACATTCAAATGCAAATTTTCAATATTTTTAGAAGAAAAAGGTGAATATATATATTTTTTAATTATTTTTTGTGGTGTAAATATACAAAAATTAATGTGGTGAGACCCAAATTGCAGAAGGAACTGATGCTATTCAATGCCATATCCTGTAGTCAAGCTAAATTTGAATGCTGAACACACTATTTATTGTAAATATATCCGAAATCATTTAAATTCAAGCAAAATTGTAAAAATGAAAAATTCTAGGAGTTTAACTTGTCAAAGGCCTCGCGATATGCATGTTTACTAACTATCATGTTGTAATAACGATGATGTTTGATCATGTTACTGATCATAAAATGTTTCTTTCCAATCATCAACCTGGCCATAATACATATAACATTGACATACTTTGATAAGATGTCTTTCTTGATGTGCTTTCCAAAAGAAAAACATACAGATATTTTTAATAGTGAGAAATTGTGATCCATGTCAATGGCATAGTTGTATTACAAGTTGACCAGCATGAACTTGATGTTCATCACTACGCTATAATTATATAATTTCTATGTAACACAAATGAGTTTTTATGTGGATTTAGAAGGTTTAGATATGGAAGAATGCAAGGAATGTTTAGATATGGAAGAATGCAAGGAATGGGATATTGAACGCCAACCTAATTGAAAGAGATTGAGACAAATGGTCTTCCTAAGTCCAGCTTGATTCGATACTTGAACCAGTGGTCAATTATCTTAGGCGCTATTGGAGCTGAAGTGACGTAGGACTATATTAGAGCTGTTTATTAGTGATGGAACAAAGGAATATATGTTTAAATTTTGTCCCTGAAATTCTGGAATTACTTTAGGATCATAGAAGAAGAAGAAGCAAGAGAAGAGCATATGAGGAGGAGAAAGAGATTGCTTTATTCTCACAAGGTTGGGCAAAATAATTCAACTCAATCTCAAACTTAGAATGCAATGAACACTACTAAATTAAAGAGAATATAACTATTCATAGACTGAAAAGTCTTCTAATAAATAAGATAAGGATTTTATATTTGAAATTTAAATAAATAAAATCATTGCCTTCAAAAGGTTGTGGACCAATTAAAGTTGTCGATTTTATTCTCCAAGTGGACTGATCATAATAAATAATAAAGTGATGAATAGAGTGTCGACTTCCCGAGGATTTATATTTACTTATTTGCTTTCATTCAAACTAGCTTTCATTAAGAAAAACACACAATTATTTGGTTTTAGTTTCAACTATATGTACTAAAATAAGCAATTAAAATTAAGCTACAAAGTTTGGGAGTTTAATCAAATCATTAAAGGTACTAGGATCGTGAATCCAATTTAATCTACTATAATATTTGCTAAGGTTAAGAATCAATTATCCAATTTTAAATTGAAGCTTATCTCAAGGTCAATCAATTCTATAATTATATGTGATCTAATTATCTCTAATTCAATATAAGCGTGCATTAGTCGACAAAGATAGTTATATAATTATTTCATAGAGTGTAATGATCTCTATCTATTATAGGATCCCATATTGTTAAATACCATGTGCTAATTTATACTAAACCTATCGAAAGCAATATAAATTAGAAAAACATTCTAATGGTGATCTTGCATCAAAATGGAATTAGGGAATAATCAATAATCACAAAAAATTAAATTAAAAAATGAACAATTAATTAATCAAAGAGCTACCAATGTTTCATAATTAATCCTAGCGGCAAAGGGTTTAGCTGAACATGATTTGCAAGAACATTGGATAAGAGTACATCACTGGATTTTTAAAATAATGGAAGAAAAGATGAAATTGACCTTTATGTGAAGGAGCATGTTGAGTGACCCCTGTCTAATAACTTAAACTTTTAGATGATATGGTGAACATACTTTCTTTTGATCCTTCAAAGTTCAAAATATTAACCTTGTGTGAAGTTGCACTGGCATTTTCAACTGTAGAAGGTATGGATTCCACTTGGAAAAATTAATTGCTACTCGTCTTTCATAAATGCAAGAGATGTCTGTATGCCTGACATTCTGACAGTTCTTTATCGAAGAAAAGATCCACCAATGTATGAACACATTTATTTGTTCTGTCAATGTATTAATGTCAGCGTGTAATGGTTGCTTTAAATCTTTTTTAGATGAAGAAAATTGTGCATTGGGAACCATGGTGGTTGTCCCCTATGCAGTGACATGACTGCTTCCCCCAAACTGTGCCAATTTGGTATAGAATGCTGTTCATTAGTGAGAAACCATACTAATGGCTGAAGATCTTGAATATCAGTAGAAACAAGGAAAAGAGGACAAATCCTTTGCCCTCCAAGTGTGGCAAAATCATTCATTACAATATCAGATTCTTAGAATAAAGGGATTGCACAATTTATAATCCTAAATGATTCTTGAAATATAGAATCTTTGACATCTGAAGATTATTTTAGACCGTCTAGGTCCTAGGATACCTCCTGAGTGAGTAAACTAATCAATGACCAGTGGATTATGGCTATAACCTGGTCCGCCAGTTAAGTGTTAGAACTTGTTCGAAACCAAACTAATCATCAAATTCTAGAGGTGTCCTTATTTTTCCACATGTGCAGTATATAGGAGTTGCACACTCCAATTTTGAGATGGTGGTGTGTGTAAATAGGACTAGATGCTTGATGTTATATGACTAGAAAGAGAAAAAATATACCATTTGTTAAAGAAGTGAACTGAAAGTGTAAAAGGTTAAAATCTTGCTGCTTAGCCTATGAAAAAACACAATTTATTGTTTGGGCTTGTTCTTAGGCTTTAAATTGAATCTCCTATTATAGTGAAAATTTCAGATCACCTTTGGCATCACTGATGTAAGCAATTAAAAATCAAAAATACCATTGAAGATTTATTTAGCGCAAGGGAGCTATGATTTAACCCAAACTTTGTGGTAGCGATGATTTTAAATGGCTAAATTACTATGAAGTATTGGAAGATTTTTTTGATTTTTTTTGAGACCGTATTTGCACTAACAGATTTGTAATGTTGGATAAATAAATGCAGGAATTCTTCACATTACCTTCTGGAAAGCGAAAAAGGGAAGACTTTCCTCCAGGACCTCCACAATACCATAGTGGTGGATACATTCCACAACAAGATGGAGCTGCAGATGTTTTATCCGATGACTTGAAGGTAGATCTGTTTCTCTATTTATTAACATAGATTGCCACTGATAATTTGCAGTAATCATTTGTCGCCATCCTTGCTTATTAAAAATAAAATAAAATTAGGCCTCTTCCTTTCTTCTCTAGCTTGAAATCATCATCAACTTAATTTTTGGATGTTGTCCAACTTTCTGAGCCACCCTCTGTTGTCAATGCGTTTTAACTCCTTTTGTCGTTTGTCTCCTTTGGTCTCCTTTGGTTCACTACCTTGATGTGATTATTAAGCTGTCTTTGTTCGAAGCCCCACTTAATCTTCTTGCTGCTTTGTAATTTCTATTGTTAAGGATTTATAGTTTTATTCAAATTTTTTAGTAAGCTAGAATACTGCAATGTGCACTTCCTAATTAATTCAAGAAATTATGAAACTTTTTCTCTCTTGCCTTGTTTTAGTTCTTGTAATTGTGTTGAAACTCCCAGTCTAGCTGTCCATCTTCAGAAAGGGAACTTGCTTCAGTTGATTTGATATTCCTCTTTCTATTTTTCCGAAACTTTCAGGTAGTAGGAGAAAACGGCTACCATATTGTGCTGTGAATAAAGGGAAACCTCAATAGTGTTGGAAATTATCCTTTTGCTACCCTGCTGGTCTTCATTATTGAGAAATGATCACACTGTTGGATGTTGATTAAATTATTTCATAGCTAATCCTAGATGTGTATGATATGGAACTTACTTTATTGCTATCTGAAATATATAATTTTCTCTCCTCCGACCAGAAACAGGAAAAGTAAAAATTTGGAGAGACACAACAAATAAAATCAAGAAAGGGAAAGTAACATCTTTTGTATGTCATATTTTGGAGGGGTTGTTCCCTTGTTTCACGATCCATGCTAAACATCTTGGGAACACATTGCCGCAAAATCAAGATAGGAGAAATGTTAATGATATCTTGACCCTAGGTTCATAAGGCTGAGGTTTTCATGGAAAGCTCAGTTGTGTATGCTTTTATTATGTTTGAAAGGGCTTGATTTTGGTAGTTGTTCTTATGGACTTGTTTTGTGATGAAGAAAATGACAATATGTGATTTCCTGTTTGGCGATTATTTTTGAATTGCTGTACTACTAACTCTTAAATTGGTTGCCAAAGATTTTTAACCTTCTGCAATGTTGGTCTCTTTTTTATCCATTGCATCTTGATTAATCATTTTATGACCATTGTACAGGTAGTTCAAGGTAACAACAATCGGTATGAGACAGTGAATTCTACCCAACAGCTCTTTGTTCAAGGGGGAATATTGTCTTCTGGGATTCCTCAGTTTGATGGTCCCATTCCTGATCCATATGACGATGTTCTTTCTACACCCAATGTGAGTTCTGCTTCTATATTCTTGATTTATAGCACGTGCGTGCATACACACGTCTATATGAACACGGAAATACATTGTGCCCTTTCCATGCACACAAGTGTAGATGAATTTACATTCGGGTTTGTGATTTTGGCGCTTATATTTGGCCCTTGAAATATCTCGCTTCTAATTTCCCACCAGCTTTTGTTCCTGACCACCAATATAGTATTTGTGGTAGGTATCTATTGTTTTCTGAATTACAAACAGGCATCTGTACTTGTTGAAGTTTAATGTTTACACTGATATGGGTTATAAGTGCCTTGACTAACACCTACTCAGTAAGTCTTATTATAATTTGACTTGATCCCGTGATTTTCAGGTTTGTTTTAATTGAATATTTGACATAACATCCTACATCACTTGGTACGCCTTTCCATATTTCTCATTTGCCATGTTTTTAAATGAGAGAGGTTTATATTGGGGTTTTAATTGAAAATGATGGAAGGTCAGGGAAGGGTGGGTGGGTTTTCCAAATTAAAGTGAGCCATTAGGTTGTGATTGAACGGCTTGAGGCAATATATGCAAAAGAAATTTTTATATTTGATGACATGTTTTGTGGAATACCACGAGCTCTTCTGCAAAATAAATATAGAAAACAATTTCACTAAGCAAGCATCTAACTGTCTACATATCAACATGATACAATTAACCCTTAAAAAATGTTACTTCGTTGAACTATTTCTCGCTCTTTCAAGGTTGAAGTTCTAAATCGTTTTATAATTGTTGAGCTTTTAAACCAGTAAATAGCTCATTCTTGTTTAAGAAAATCAAAATTGTCGATGCAAAATTTGGAGATCAAAGATTGAAACCTGGATTACTATATATTCTAAATTGTATTCTCAGTAATAAAAGAGGAATACCATATTACCATTGTGTTTGTACTATATTTATGATAATAGGTTTGTAACAATGCTGATCTACTTTCATTTTTAATAGCTGTGTGTATAACCTGATCTCTGAGGATCTGTCACATATAGGCTACCTTTTAAGTCTTGAAGGTTTTGTATGAGATAACTTGAAACAAATTTTAATTTCATTCTTTGTTATTGTAATTGTATGTTCTCCGTCTTTTTCCATGTCATACATGGTATGCTGCATTATTAACTAAACTTATGGTTTCTAATTCTGTCTTTGAAGATATACAATTATCAAGAAGTTGCCAACGAAGACTACAATATAGTGAACACGCCTGCACCAAATGGTAAACTGATAATCGAATTTGGACTATGCTTGTCTTGAAGTATTCACTCCCTAATGCCAAATTTCTGCACATTATGCAGAGATACAAGCAGCCACTCCTGCTCCCCTTCCCCAGAGTGACACTGGAGATGATGACGACGACGAACCTCTGAACGAGGATGATGACGACGAATTAGATGATGTGGACCAAGGGGAGGATCTGAACACTACACACTTGGTTTTAGCTCAGTTTGACAAGGTAATGACCAGAATAGAGTTTTCCCTGTAGGTTTTGAGTGGTATTTTTTTATATAGTCCTCTTATTATGATGTCGATCTCATTATTCTGTTTTGTTGATATGTGGCGATGAAATTTATTAAATGGATGCTCGATATACAGGTGACACGTACGAAAAGCAGGTGGAAATGCACTTTGAAGGACGGCATCATGCACATAAACAATAAAGACATTCTGTTCAATAAGGTGTGAGCCGTCTTACGCTTGTTTCCTCCCCCCATCTTACATTTTTTCTTATTCATTAATCTGGAAATTGTAAATAATTATTTGGGCGCTATGTTCTTTCTCAGGCTACAGGAGAGTTCGAGTTCTGATTTTGTTGGAGATGACTCAGATGATGGGTGTTCATTTCAGAGGAAAACCAAAGATATCATTACCTTTTATATTTTGTCTTTGGTCTATCTATTAGCCGAATACTGCAAGATAATATGCTTTTGAGAGGTTACTGGTTGGTCACATGTAAATAGAAAGCTTTATTTTCGCTAAACGTTTTCTGCATTTTATGATTCTTGACATGATGCAACATTATACAATATATACATTTTGTTTGTTCACACAAAATTTGATCTATTATCTCGTATTTGATTCATTTTTATTTATTTATTGTTTCTTGGTGGCTCGGCTGGATGTTGGATTTTAAATTGCTGGTAGATGAGTATGATAAAGGCCCTGGATTTGTTGCGCTAGAGGCAGCCCATATTTCAATTTCGTTTCCAATTGCATTAAAAGATTTGCTTCATGCCCTTTCCCAGGACTCCGCTCGAGACTATGACTGTTTCCTCGATCTCTGAAAACGTGGGCACTCTAAAATTTCTATGTAAATTATGCTTTATGTGCATTATATTAAAATCAGGTTTTTAGTAAATTTTTATAGAAGTCGATGAAATTTGTAGTTGAAAAGTTCTGGAATTCATAAAATATGTGGCTAAAATCAATTGTTAATTTTGACTTAGATAAAAATCTAGATTTTAATCGGTACCAAATAGGAGCTAAAACTCTAAGGCTGACTTGAGTGTCATATGATGTCCCCTATACAAGCATAGTCATAAAAGTGTTGTTTTGTATATTCAGCCCAGTTGAGGACTTGAATTAGGTATCTCAATTGAAATCCCCTCCCCCGAATGGCATTTTTTGTAGAAATAGTGTTCGTGCTTATTTTGATAATCCTCGAGGCAGAAGAAAGAGTTCGGCATTACTAAACATGGGACTAGAGAAATGCACTCAATCATCAAAAAAGAGGATTTGATTGAGTATCGAGGAGTCGACGCATTTAGGACAAATACCGAATGAAAGTAGATGGCGATCAAATAGATATTACATTTAATATGAAAAATGCAAAATGAGCTCTAAAACTACAGATTTTAACGTTAAAAACCTAGGAATAAAAACAAGAGGACCATAATATTGCCAAAAATCTCCAATAGTAATCGATCATGGGATACAAGGGTTCATACATTGGGAACACAACAACAATACTAGATTTCAAATGACAAATACATAAACAAATGATCGAGGGTTTACTGTAAAAGCAAATTTATTCTTGACATCAATTTACATATAAATGTAGCTAAAAGTAACAAAACTCATTCTAAATGGTTGGAAGGAAGCTGATTAAACAGAAATGTGTATTCAGTTGGGCTGGAGAATCCTTCCATGATTTTCTTCCTCTGGAACTGCATTAACAATCTCATCAGTAAAACAACATAAAAGATATTCTTGAGTTTTTGTAGATCAAATTTATCAGTGATATTCTTCGCATTTTTAAGATTGTATTTTAGTTCATTTCCACAGATATTCTTAAGAGTTTTGGTCTAAGGCCACCAAATTATTTGATGAAACACTGAATTCACCACAGGAAAAATTACACAGATTAATAATCTACACTACTAGTTATTTTCTTCGCCATTCCTTAATCTTTAATCCCAGAAAGAAGTAGATAACTAAATTACCTGGATGCGCATTGGTAGAAATGGGGACGGGGGACGAGTTTGCACTGGCGTAGAAGGAAAGTTTGGAAGTAGGTGAATTGGTAGAAGAGAGAGAATTCTCCTTATTAAAAGTTGGTTTGGGTGAGACAAGAAGGGTAGATGATGAATTTGTTGTAGTCTTAGTTGTCACAGAGCTGGAGGTCTCTTCGTGGCGAAAAAAGGAAGTTACAGCTTCTTTCACCATCTCAACCACACCAGTTTCCCTCGCAGTTTTCCTAGGACTTATTGCGTCTGTTATGGCCTGTGAAAGAGCTCTTTCATCTTCTCCAGGTTCCAACTTATTCAAGAAATACTCCTTTACTGAAACGCCTTTGTCCCATTTTTGTGGGCTGCTGCTAAATTGTTTTCCAATTAGAGAACTTTCACCCAATTTCTTCATATCACCAAGATGAATTGCAGAATCTGAAAGTGCAGTATGATCTCCTGTTTCTTGTGTTTCAGGTGTTTTAACCGTGAGGCCAGCAAATTTAGAAGTAACACTATGAGATGGGGCTAACTTCAGAGATGCGCTCCTAGCCATGGTCTTGTTTCTGCTCATGGCTCTGTCATTTTCTTGTTGATCAGTTTCGTGCTTGACGCTTCCTGGCATTATGTGTTTCTCAGACACCACTGGGCTTGCTCGTGGATGCTGCCTCGCATACTCTCGGTAAGTCTCAGGTGCCAGTTCCGATTCATACACTATAAGACACAGAAGATTTAAGATTTTTTGCCTCAATATCATAAATTTACAAATAAAATTGTTAATGTTATTACTTGGGGCTCCAAGATATTCAGGATCGTCATCTTCTTCGTCCAAATCATCCAAGCTAACACCCCACGAGGGTGTGGTTTTATCATCATGAAGGTCGTTTTCATGTCTTTTCTTGCCACTGAGAGAGTGTCGCAATTTCTTAGCTCTCTCTTTTACTTTTGCGAGAACGGATTTCTTGTTAGGGTGATTGCTGTACTCTTCTTGATCATGATTATTTCCTAATGTGGGTGAGCTGCTTGATGACCACAGCAAATCTTCACCTGAGGAACAATATTTTCATGCTTGTCAGCTTTGAAAGAACAAGCTTATTTAGTAATGTCTATATATTTGATATCAATCACACTACAAGGGGCTATTGTTGATAAGAGAGGATCAATCAAGCACTATATCACTCAAGATCATGCTCAATAATCATAAATCCAAGAATAAAGGAATTAAAATTTGTGGCACAAATGTTAAGCGGAACAGTTAATGCTTTCAATGAGATGGTGAGAATTACCATGTAAAAGTTGCTCAAAAGTTGGCGAGGTTTGAGTTTTCGGACTCTTACTGTTCTCAGAAGATCTTCGCATCCTATCAGATTGAGACATTTTCTGGGAATTATGGGGGAAAAATGTTTTAGATTATTCTCTTGCTGTTATCTGTCTCTCCATGAATGAAATAGGAAAACTTTAGAGCTAAAAACGCATGTTAATGCATTGCTTTCGGCTTCCTCAATGGACTTATAATCGGAAATATCCATTTATCTTCCAACCAAGAGTTTTGCTAGTTGCAAATTTGTGGTAGACCAGACCCTCCTCTGGATAAAACGATGGCCTTCCTCTTTATCCTCCTAACTACATGCTGTTGTGTCTTAACAATATTTTTGGATGGATGTTCCTTGTTTTCAGGATTTGAGGTACTAAAAGCCTCATCTTTATGTCTAGTTATTAACTGTTATAGAAAGTCGCAATTTCTCTTTCAAGTAAAATATTCACAACAATGACAAATTTAGGGGGTGTTTGTTTTCCATTTTTGTAAGAATAAAAATGAAAATATAGTCGTTATGAGCCTTATACAAGAGATAAAAATTCAAATTTGGTGACTTGATGTAATAAATAGCGATCATATTTTTTATTTTAGTGGGAAAAGAATAGGAAACAAATAGGGACTTAGTCTTACTTTCTAATAACATTAACAAATAATTCGAAAAATGACGGTGACTACATATATTAATCATGACTCCAAGATATTAGTTTTGTATTCTAAATGCAAAAATTAATTTTAATATGCATTAATATATGTGTATTAAAACGTATGTAATAGAAAAAAATATGAAAATAGGGGGAAAAAGCATGTCTAATAAAGAGAGGTGTAATTGAATTTCACAATTTATTGCTATTTAGCGTAGATTTGGCAATTGTAATGCCATACATTCATTTGCTTAATGCATTTATATTGAAGCGGCACATCTATTGTTTTAATTATATTTGTTTAATGATTTATTGTAGGGGTCAAAGATTAAGTTTTTGTAACTTCTTAATCACAAAGTATTGTAAATGTGATATGATAACTTAATATTTTTAGTCATAAGTAGCAAATAGATATGGATATCTTTGTTACGGATAAATTAACACATATTGTATTTCGTTGTTGATATTACATACTAAAATATGAAGACATAACATAGATGTGTACATTGATGGCTATCTTGATGTCGTGTTAATAATTAATCTCTAATACTCGGTATTTTAATTTGAAGTCATCATAGAACCTCATATGAGGATCGTCATATTTTGATTGTGTTGGATATCCCCTATCTAAGGATCTACATTATTCGGAGATGGTGAAAATCGTGTGAAGGTTGGTGAATGATCAATAAAGAATACATCGCTTGTAAATAGTTAAGAGACTGCATTTTGTATTTTGTCCGCTTGAGTTGATATAGAAATTTCTGTACCAAGCTGTGGTTTTGAAATAAAAAGCATTTCAAATATAAAATCCAATTAAATCGACTTGAGAATGAGATGGCGACTAATATAATTGATTAAATCAAGATTGATACTTTTTCCATATCTTGCAATCAATAGGGATAAAGGAATTATATTTATAGTAACTGAACATTTTTTGGTTCGTCAATGTTCAAATTAAAAATCCAATCTTGTGCAAATCAAAACAGCATTTTGTTTAATTCGTGAACTTTTCGGATGCAAGTTGCCATCACTAAAAACAGTACTGTTCATATCCACCAGAAAGTCCCCGTTACCCAACATTTCTTTCATTCTTCATCCGATAATTACACAAAGCTCATCAATGTATGCATTCAGAATCGGGCCCTGCAATCCGGAAGAGCTTTACACGCTCACCTTATAGTTAATGGGTTGGCATATTCCAACTACTTTGCTTCCAAGCTCATAGCATTCTATACACGATTCAAACAGTTGGGTCCTGCTCGAAAGCTGTTTGATAAAATTCCTAAATCAAATAAACTTGGTTGGGTTGCTCTTATCGGATCCTATGCTCGCCATGGGTTTTATGAAGAGACCATGTCTATGTTTTTCAAAATGCAGATGGAAGGATTAAGATATGATATAATTGTCCTACCCAGTGTTCTTAAAGCCTGTGCACACCTCTCTGATTGGAATACTGGAGAGAAGTTACATGCTGTTGTTTTGAGAAATGAGTTTGAATCTGATGCATTTGTGATGAGTGCACTGATTGATATGTACTCAAAATGTAGGATGGTTGAGAAGGCAAAAATAGTGTTTGATGGCATGGTGGAAATTGATTTGGTGGCATTGAATACTATGGTTTCTGGGTATGTTCAAAATGGTGTGGTTACAGAAGCATTAGGTTTGGTTGAGGAAATGAAAATATTGGGAATGAAGCCTGATGTTGTGACGTGGAATACATTGATTACAGGGTTTTCACGAGCAAAAGATAAATTGGCAGTCGAAAAAATCTTCAGAATTATGGATGAGGAGGGGGTTAAACTTGATGTGGTGTCTTGGACATCAGTAATCACTAGTTCTGTACAAAACTTTGAGCACGAGGAGGCATTTCATACTTTTCGACAAATGTTGAGTGTGGGATTGTATCCAACGTCAGAGACAATTTGTGGTATTTTGCCTGCTGCTGCAAATATAGCAGATCTACAGCATGGTAAGGAGTTACATGGTTATGCTGTGGTAATGGGGTTTGAAGAGAACGTCTATGTTAGGAGCGCGCTAATAGACATGTATGCTAAATGTGGGTTGATTTCTGAAGCAAGGTCATTGTTCCAAAAGATGTCTGAAAGAAATACTGTCACCTGGAACTCCATGATATTTGGCTATGCAAATCATGGATATTGTAATGAGGCAATCCAACTTTTCGATCAACTGCTTGGGGAGGAGGAAATGAAAGTGGACCACTTGACTTTCACTGCTGTTCTCACAGCTTGTAGTCATGCTGGGATGGTTCATCTTGGAGAAAGTTTATTCCAATTGATGCAGGACAAATTTGGGATTGAACCAAGATTAGAGCACTATGCATGCATGGTGGATCTTTTGGGAAGAGCTGGGAAGCTTGATCAGGCTTATGATCTCATCGATAAAATGGCTATCGAGCCTGATTCATTTGTGTGGGGAGCGTTGTTAGGAGCGTGCAGGCAGCATGGCAACATTAATCTTGCAGATATAGCCGCGAAACATCTAGCCAAACTTGAACCTGAAAGTTCAGGGAGTAGTGTGCTGTTGTCAAATTTATATGCCGACTTCAATAAGTGGGGAAATGCCACAAAGGTGAAGAAGATGATGAAGAAAAGGAGACTCAAAAGATTGCCTAGTCGTAGTTGGATAGAAGTGGTATGATATAGAACAATCCATCTCTTGGAGAGGAAACTAGATTGGTAGTATTAGGCAGGACAGTAAAGCTTCTTCATTTCATAAATTCCTTTGAAATATATTGGTGTATGCCAACTGGCCCAGAGGAGAAGCTTCAGATTGTACCTCCTAAAACGTTATCCTCAAGTATCATTGTTTTGATCGGTTTAAGCTAAATCAAGTCCACATCGTACCGTGGACATGTACTTTAACAGAAACCTACCACATGAACTGGAGGATCCAATACTTGGCGAGCACCAGCTATCGCTGGAGCAGCTGTGCTCAGTATTCATCCTAGATCCGCTAGTGACCACATGGTTGGCATTCCGCATTGCACAACAGAATCGTCAATCTCAGTAGTTTTTGTTATGTGAAGTGTTCGAGCAGCTGATCTCACCGCTTATGCTTAGTATTTATCCTGGATCCGCTAGTGACCACATGGGTGGCATTTTGTATCGCGCAACAGAATCATCAATCTCAATGGTTTCTGTTATGTGAAGTGTTCCAATTGTAGCATGCGATTATGTAACTCTATTATAAAAATCCTTGACATAAAATGAATGAACCAAAAACTCAACTTTTTTCTTTCAATTGTTAATTTACCAAGTATTTTATTCATCTCACCTATGGTTTCTCTAGACTCTGCCTTTTTCATAGTACAGCAAATATTCTAGTAATATGTAAGTCTTCATCAAGTTCTATTTTTAAATCCTGTTAGGCTTCTACTTCTTATAAAATCTCTAGTTCCTCTAGCTAGACAAAATTACTCAAATAGAATAAAGTTGCTTGGTCTTAGAAGCAGTTGTTGACATTTCAAAAGTCTTGTCAAATGGGCCCTTATTATGACATATCAGAGCACCAATGGAGCTTCAACGGGGAGACGAGGTGCAGCATAATGCTTCTTATACAAATCAAAGAAGTAAAGATGAAGATCAAGAGATATGGTCAATAAAGAGTGTCATCTAATTTGTTTTATTTCAAACAATACTGAATGTAAGTAAATAATTCAAATAACAAGTGGTTGATTATCTATTTGCATGCTTTTCTAAGCATGAAAGAGACTTAACCATCAACATCTCACCTTTTCAAATTTTTATTCAAAGAGATTAATAAGTCATCTCCACCGAAAACACGAATACTTCAACAAAATCTCCTGCAATAGCATTGCAGACCACCGCAGCTCCCACTGATGCTACTTTCATAAAAACGACAAACTTCATCGACACAAATCCAGACATAGTGCTAGATGTTGGCTCGGATAATCGCATACGGTTACCGCTGCCACCATGATGCTTGTCTCTGGAACGTTCAGACATCCAAAAGAAAAAATTAGAATATATATATATATATATATATACACACACACACACACACACACATAGGCTTAATCTCATGTTTTTATGGACAGTACTTTTCTTTGCTGACGTGACAATAGAACCATAATAATTATGGTTCTCTTAATGACTGATTTAGAGAATCATAATTAAGGTTCTCTTACCGCGTCAGCAGTGGGAAATTTTTATCCTATCTATTGGGAGCAGAAGATCAATTCTAGAACCATACAATACCAATGTTGGTGGCAGCCACCAGGAGGA